GAAATCCAAGAAACAGGCAGAGGTCAGGGCTGGCAGCAATAATCAGAGTCCAAGACCAGCTCAAAGTCGAAAACAGAAAAACAAACACGGGAAACTGCTTAGAAATGCAGACACTCGGTACAACAAGACTTCGCAATAAGTGAATGTGAAAACCAGGTATTTATGGTGTGACCTAAAAGAGATAATGAGAAACAGGTGAATGAGATGAGTGCTAATGAGTCTGGGCAGTGAGTTATGGGAAATGTAGTTTGTAGGTGAAACATGATCGTCAGGTGTGGAGTGCCCTGTGGAGTGTCAGAATCAGCACGGTCTGTGATTGTTGTAAAATTCTGTCTCTACTGTTGCTAAATAGTAGCCTGACTTCGTCATACTCATAGTCTGGTCAGAAGATGAGTCCGAGACCGCTCTGTATGGCTTTGATTATGAGGCGTGTCTTAAACGAACCAGGAAAAAAACTCTGCACTCAATTGGATAGTCGGACAGACCTACAACCAATCAGAGCAACGCAGTAAGTCAAATACTTTGCATAGCATAGTTGTCAAGAACAGAACTTACTTATTTTAGAAGTAAAATAACGAGTGTTGCTTCTATCATTTGGTCCTTCATGAGTGCGGCCAAAGGAGAACCCACAACGACCACATGCTTTTCAGTCCCATCTTCTTAACTTAGCGACCGTCAGAGTCAGCTGATAAGTTACACTTTTGCCGAATATCTTTCCGATCGACAAATGCCTTGATTGCAGTTTTCTGTTTTTCTATTAAAATTAATGCGCTGTCAATTAATTTTAAAAACAGACACGACAGCTGAATCTATACATCTCAATTCTCCAGCTGCAGTCATCTCTGAGGGAAACAATTTAGCGCTCTTTGATAACGTGATGATTACGTCCCTGCAGATCATCTGTCCATCGTCGTATAAAGCCCGCCCTGGCAATTTGATTGGCCCGATCATTTTTTGCCTGATCATAATTAGTCCTCAATGAATCGAGTCCAGACCGAACTTCCCGACCAAAAAATGTTGTGGACGGAGTTCAGGCTGGCATCCAGGCTAGCTAAATAGAGGATGCGTTTGATCATAAAAATGGCTATTAAAAGCACAAAAACCTGCGTAAGAGATCCTTCACAAGGCGGCGCACGCTCCGAAATGGACTAGAAAGAAAGAAAAGTATACTTTTGGCTTTGTATGGGCTAAACTAGAGATTAGGGTATTTTATTAATTCTGGACATCATATTTTCCCTTGGTCTACGGTAAAAATATCATAACATATTCATTCAAACAGTGACAGAAAAGGTAATGTAATTAACGGAGTATGAATGGAGTCCCAAATTTCTAGCATTAGCCACTATTCAGACTGATCTCATGAAGTAGCGTGTGTATGACACACCAATTCGTATTTCCATTTTTGGCGTGCTATCAAGACGCATAATCGCCTTTCAGCGTGTTTATGAACGCCGTTGACTTAACGTTATATAAATATATGACTTACCTCAACCCAGTCCCTAAACCTAACTGTCACTGGGGTTAATGGCATTTATGACTGTTCCCTTACCATCCTAGGAAAGAAAAAGATATGACTTACCTCAACCCCATCCCTAAACTTAACCGTCACTGGGGTTAATGGCATTTATGACTGGGGATTTGACGTTGTGTACAGACACGCGGAATGACGCGGACGTTAATGGCGTAGACATATACGCATACACGCGGATAGCTCAAAATGCGTAGCGATAACACGCCACCTGGCGCGAAAGTGGCGTATATGTTTACGCAAAAGTCATGATGTCATGTTGCACTATTTCTTAACCGCAACCTGAGAGAATCAAAGTGCTAGTAATTCAACTTTCATTCGTTTGCTTAAAGGGTTAGTTCACCCAAAAATGAAAATTAAGTCATTAATTACTCACCCCCATGCTGTACCAACCCCGTAAGACCTTCGTTCGTCTTCGGAACACAAATGAAGATATTTTTGATTAAATTTGAGAGCTGTATAACTACCACATTGGCTCCTAAGGGACTGCCTCTTGATGGCCCAGAAAGTCAATGAAGAAAATGTTTAAATATCCCAAGTGACTACCGTGGCTCAACTATATGTTTATCAAGCGACGTGAATACTTTTTGTGCGAAAAAACAAACAAAAATAACGAGTTTATTCGACTATTTCTTTTCTTCCTTGTAGGCCAGAACGAGACTTCCTTAGATTTCCACGACGCATGCGCGAGAATTGCGATCTGAAGTAGTGTAAGCTGGTGTAAGCAAATCGCAATTCTCGCGCATGCGTCGTGGAAATCTAAGGAAGTCTCGTTCTGGCCTACAAGGAAGAAAAGAAATAGTCGAATAAACTCGTTATTTTTGTTTGTTTTTTCGCACAAAAAGTATTCGCGTCGCTTGATAAACATATATTTGAGCCACGGTAGTCACTTGGGATATTTAAACATTTTCTTCATTGACTTTTTGGGCCGTCAAGAGGCAGTCCCTTAGGAGCCAATGTGGTAGTTATACAGCTCTCAAATTTAATCAAAAATATCTTCATTTGTGTTCCGAAGACGAACGAAGGTCTTACGGGGTTGGTACAGCATGGGGGTGAGTAATTAATGACTTAATTTTCATTTTTGGGTGAACTAACCCTTTAATAGGAATTTCACCAGTTTAGCATTACATTTGCATTTATTCATTTAGCTGACGCTTTTATCCAAAGCGACTTACAATTGCTGTATATGTCAGAGGTCGCGCGCCTCTGGAGCAACTAGGGGTTAAGGGTCTTGCTCAGTGTCTCGCAGTGGATTCGAACCCGGGTCTCTCACACCAAAGTAATGTGTCTTATCCACTGCGCCATCACCACCCCTAGAATTAGGAGATTGTGTACTTGTGTTTGGATGCTCCCGTGAGCGCATGCGTTCCCTTCTGTGACAAGGTTTCTGGCGGGAAACTCTTCGGCTCTGATTGGCTGGCAGTCAGTCGATGACGTGTTCTGAGGGACAACACTCGATGGTGAATGGTTGGTTGGCTTTGCCGGGTGCCGCTTCGTGTGTCGGTTTCCTGAATTGAGGGTTGCTATGCAACAGAGTTTCCTCAGAGTCTGGAGGAGCTGCTGGAGTGACTCTGTGAGGGTTTTTTGAAGAGCATGTAAGTGTACGCGCTGGATGATGAAAATGTCCGCACAAAATCAAAGCAAGATCAAAAGTCACTGCAATAGTTAGGCAAAAAGCAACCCAGAGCTGCTTGTCATTGGTTTATAAGTGTGTCCATCCAACTTGTCCTTCCAAGTGTGTCAGCCATTTATATTATATTGTCTTGGGTGGGGCCTACTCCCCGCTCTACGGTTCTTGCATGTAATTGGCATACTTATCACATGATTGTTTACTCTCTAAGAGTTTAGTAAAACACTTCAATAAGACTTTCACTAAATTTCATAGTTTAAATACACAAGTCTACTTTATATCAAAATTCTAGAAATTGTTTACCTATCAAGTAGTTACCAAATAACATATTTCCCATAGTTGAGGTAGGAGTTAATAAGGATTTAGCTATGATAAATGTTTAAGTGATATAAAGCATACATAATACAGATCATATTATATACCTGTATGAGGCAACTTCTGGGGATTAGTTCTTATAACTGAGGTCAAAAAACCTAAGAATAGGCAGTAACAACTGTTAAACACACAAAAAAAACTTAACAGGTTATATAAAACATACATGATACATAAGATATATGTGAGGTAAAAACTGGCGATGAATTCAGCTTATTGGAAGCAGTTTTGAGGTCGTTGTTGGTTAGAAACCACGAGTGGGTTAATTTCATTCTATTGGTTTTGGAGACAAAAGTCTCTAGAATTTACAGCTTCAGAAAGGAGGTGTCCCTGGTTTAAGGTTTGTGGTGATTCAGGGCCATGGGAATGCCTTAGCACCCTTCATTTCCTGATAAGGGTATGAATTTATGCATTGGGGTCACCACAGGATTTCTTGGCCATTTGCTCTTAAGTTTTGGGAAAAAAAAAAAGAGAATATTTTCGTGCTGTCCTGGCATCGCTGGTGTAAGATTAGATAGGCACAGAAAAGGGAGAGGGGGGTGACATCTCCTTTAGCCATCTTGGCAACATGAATGCGTTTTATGACTTACTAATGGTGCGATGGGGAATCGTCCTGAACTGTGGAATACAGTGTTGTTTATTAAATGGATTAGAGCGTTGACTTCGGTTCTCCAAGTCATCAACTTTATCCATCAGGTAAATGTTGTCCTGCCCCAGCTGTTGAACACGTGTGACACACTCCTGCACATTGTCTTCATTAGCCCCCAAGCGCTGCTATAGCAAATTGAATTGTTCTCGCAAAGTATTTAATGTCTTGATATGTTGAATGGTGTCCCACAATGTTTATAATGAGATGTGACGCTCCTCCATTGTAGCAAAGATGCGAAAGAATAAACAAATCTCGTAGCTATTTAGAATAAATTAGTTGATGCCTAACTTAATAAGAGTCGGTTTAGGTCAAAAGCATATAGATCAGGATAAAGGAGAATTAACAACCCTATATGACGCTTTTCCACTAAGCGGTGCCAGCTCGACTCGGCTCGCCTTTGTTTGGTTTTCCACTGTGTAAAAGTTGTACCTGTACCTGCTTTCAGGTACTTTTTTTTTGTACCACCTCCGGCGAGGTTCTGAGAGAGCCAAGGCGTTACAAAAATCATGTCACGTGAAAACAATGCCGACTGCTGATTGGTCAGAGAGAATCGTCACCATTCATGTGTCATCATTACACGTACCAGATAGAGTATCCATGGTAACCCCGCTATTTTTAAATAGTTTGAGCAGAGATAGTCACTAAACTTACTACTATTATTATGGCAACTCGGAAGAATACGCCGTGGTCAAAAGAGGAGGTGCAGACTTTCCTTTATTTGGTGGCCCAAGAGAGGATCCAGCGAGAGCTTGATGGGGCAACGAGGAACGAAAGGCACCGCTATGATGACCGGGTACTATTTGTGGAGGAACTGTCTGCAATGGAAAACGGAACGAAAAGCTAGCCGAGTCGAGTCGAGTCCAGCTGGTACTGGTAATGGAAAAGCGCCATATGATAAGAGAGACATGCAGACGTGAGACTGAGAAACGTTAAGTCACACTCTAACTACTTTAAAAGAGTTATAGTAAACAATGAAGATCCACATGTGTCTCTTAAAGTTTCCTTTATCCATAAAGCTCTTCCTGAATTGATCTCATGTGTAAGGTTCTCTCTGGTTCTCCCATCAGGTCTATAAGAAACATTAAATCATGTGACATTTCAAATGAGAGAAACAATATGAAATAAAAAGATCAAGTCAAGATCATTGATGAGTTCAATAGTCATTTTAAACCAATCAAATCTGGTTTGAGGAAGGTTCAAATTCACATTTAGGAAACTGGACATTTGTATGTTCTTGGAATGTTACAAATCAACGTTCGTAGAATTTTTAAGTTAAATTGAAATTGTTGAAAGTACGTTTGAGGAACATTATACCTTTTAAAATACATTCCTCTAACTTCAAGAAAACTGGAAATAATTTACGTTCCCAGAACCAACATTCTGAATATTTGGAGAACGTTCTTATTTTAAAAAGTCAGTAAGCCGGGGAACTAATTACCGTGACTGCTGTGATGTGGTTTTTCCACTGTATGGATCTTCATGTGTTGTTTCAGGTGAGTTTTAATAGAGAAACTCTTTCCACACTGATCACACGTGTGCGACTTCTCTCTGCTGTGGATTCTCTCGTGTTTTTTTAGAGATGATGACTGACTGAATCTCTTGTCACAGTGTGAACACTTGTAAGGTTTCTCTCCAGTGTGGATCCTCTTATGTAATTTCAGATGTGTTGATCGACGAAATACCTGGTCACAGTGTGAACACTTGTAAGGTTTTTCTCCAGTGTGGATCCTCTCGTGTGTTTTCAGAGATGATGACTGACTGAATCTCTTTTCACAGTGTGAACACTTGTAAGGTTTTTCTACAGTGTGGATCTTCTCATGTTTTTTCAGATATGATGACTGACTGAATCTCTTGTCACAGTGTGAACACTTGTAAGGTTTTTCTCCAGTGTGGATCCTCTCATGTGTTTTCAGAGATGATGACTGACTGAATCTCTTTTCACAGTGTGAACACTTGTAAGGTTTTTCTACAGTGTGGATCTTCTCATGTTTTTTCAGATATGATGACTGACTGAATCTCTTGTCACAGTGTGAACACTTGTAAGGTTTTTCTACAGTGTGGATCTTCTCATGTGTTTTCAGATGTGATGACTGACCGAATCTCTTGTCACAGTGTGAACACTTGTAAGGTTTTTCTCCCGTGTGGATCTTCTCATGTGTTTTCAGATGTGATGACTGACCGAATCTCTTGTCACAGTGTGAACACTTGTAAGGTTTTTCTCCAGTGTGGATCCTCTCATGTGATTTCAGATCTGCCGACTGATTAAATCTCTTGTCACAGTGTGAACACTTGTAAGGTTTTTCTACATTGTGGATCTTCTCATGTTTTTTCAGATCTGCCCACTGATTAAATCTCTTGTCACAGTGTGAACACTTGTAAGGTTTTTCTACATTGTGGATCTTCTCATGTTTTTTCAGATCTGCCCACTGATTAAATCTCTTGTCACAGTGTGAACACTTGTAAGATTCTTCTCCACTGTGGATCTTCTCGTGTGTTTTTTGATATGATGACTGACGGAATCTCTTGTCGCAGTGTGAACACTTGTAAGGTTTTTCTCCGGTGTGAATTCTCTGGTGCCGTTTTAAATGGCTTGCTAAAGAAAAAGTCTTCTCACACTCCAAGCACATGTACTCTCTCACACCAGTATGAGTTTTCTGATGTGTATGTAAATATTGCAGCAGTGAAAAACTCTTTCCACACACAGAACATGAATGTGGCTTCTCCTTCATATGAACTGTCAGGTGTTTCTTCAGGTTCGATACCCGATTAAATGTTTTGCTGCACTGATCACATGAGAACGGCTTCTCTCCGGTGTGGATCCTCATGTGAACATTAAGACATGATGATTGGCGGAAACTCTTTCCGCACTGATCACATGAGAACGGCTTCTCTCCGGTGTGGATTCTCATGTGAACATTAAGAGATGATGATCGACAGAAACTCTTTCCGCACTGATCACATGTGAATGGCTTCTCTCCAGTGTGGATTCTCATATGTTTCTCAAGATATTGTTTGGTTGTGAAACTCTTTCTACACTGAGTGCAGGTGAAAGATTTTTTGGCTCTTCTTTTCTTCAAAAATGCATTTTTAGTCTTTGAGCGACAAGAGGGTTTTCCAACAGGCAGGACATGCTGTTCCTCCTTCACTTCTCTTAGTTCTTCTCTCTCCTCCTTCACTTCACTCAGTTCTTCTCTCTCCTCCTTCACTTCACTCAGTTCTTCTCTCTCCTCCTTCACTTCTCTCAGTTCTTCTCTCTCTTCTCTCAGTTCTTCTCTCTCCTCCTTCACTTCTCTCAGTTCTTCTCTCTCCTCCTTCACTTCTCTCAGTTCTTCACTCTCCTCCTTCACTTCTCTCAGTTCTTCTCTCTCTTCTCTCAGTTCTTCTCTCTCCTCCTTCACTTCTCTCAGTTCTTCTCTCTCCTCCTTCACTTCCATCAGTTCTTCACTCTCCTCCTTCACTTCTCTCAGTTCTTCTCTCTCCTCCTTCACTTCCATCAGTTCTTCACTCTCCTCCTTCACTTCCATCAGTTCTTCTCTCTCCTCCTTCACTTCTCTCAGTTCTTCACTCTCCTCCATCGGGTCTGACATGAAATAATTTTGATTGTCAGTACAAAAAAAGGTTAACAAAAGTAATATGAAGTTTAAGGAGATAAAAAGAGCTCAAATTTAATAACAATAGTAATAGTAATAATAATAGTAATTTCCATAAATGTGGTACACTGATCTATTGATAATTATTTTTAAAATGTTATAGACACAAATCCCATGTTTCTGTAAGAACTGTTAAATACATCTGATCAAATGACACAATTATCTAATGTAATATTTGAATTATAGCATATACAATAGTCTCGTAATGTTGATACCAATGTTTAGATTGATATTTAATTTATTTTACTTAAAACCTTTTAATTATTACAGTCCAGTCACACTAGAACTTTAATTCCCAATGACTCCCATTGTTTCGCATGTGAACGTGGGACATCAGAAACACAAGTGGAAAAAGAGGCTACAATCTGCAAGAGCTCACCAAAACTGGACAGTTGAAGACTGGAAAAATGTTGTCTGGTCTGATGAGTCCCGATTTCTGTTGAGATATTCAGATGGTAGAGTCAGAATTAGGCGTAAACAGAATGAGAACATGGATCATCATGCCTTGTTCCCACTGTGCAGGCTGCTGGTGGTGGTGTAATGGTGTGGGGGATGTTTTCTTGGCACACTTTAGGCCCCTTAGTGCCAATTGGGCATCGATTAAATGCCACGGCCTACCTGAGTATTGTTTCTGACCATGTCCATCCTTTTATGGCCACCATAGACTCATCTTCTGATGGCTACTTCCAGCAGGATAATGCACCATGTCACAAAGATCGAATCATTTCAAATTGGTTTCTTGAACATGACAATGAGTTCACTGTACTAAAATGGCCCCACAGTCACCAGATCTCAACCCAATAGAGCATCTTTGGGATGTGGTGGAACGGGAGCTTCGTGCCCTGGATGTGCATCCCACAAATCTCCATCAACTGCAAGATGCTATCCTATCAATAGGGGCCAACATTTCTAAAGAATGCTTTCAGCACCTTGTTGAATCAATGCCATATTGAATTAAGGCAGTTCTGAAGGTGAAAGGTGTCAAACACAGTATTAGTATGGTGTTCCTAATAATCCTTTAGGTGAGTGTAAAGACAGTTCACTTCGTGTATACAGGCGGCGCCATCTTTGGAAAACAGTCTCGACTAGTCAAACCACGAACATCTTGCTGAGTGGTCTGAACTGTATGAAGTTCAGCGAACTTCTGAACTCTATGAACGGCGTTCGGGGATCGACTTATCGAGACTATTTTCTAAGATGGCTCCTGTCTGTATACACGAAGTGAACTGTCTTTATAAAGTATCTTCTTATTAAACGGTCTGTACACTTACAAAGTTCTCAATGCTTTGTTTTGCATGCAGGGACCCTCATTAGCCGCATTTCCACTGCCGGGCTAGGGCTGGGCCAGAGCTAACAGGGAGCCGAGCCAAGATAGTGGCCTCGGGCCTCAAGCACCGGGCTTGCGTTTCCACTGCAGGGCCAGTAGCCCCGCAGCGCTGCCCTAAACCCCACCCCTAACACGCCTTTCTGGATCAAACGTCATACAACCCAACCCTATTATGAATTAATTTATTTTTTAAGTTAGGAAGATAGCATGTATATTTACTCACCGGCCGTTGCTGAAATAGTGTCCCGATTGTCTCGCGAGTCGCCAGTAACAGAGGGACGGTGACCCAGCACACCGTCCATCAAGTCGAACCATGGAAAAATCATTCTCTGAACTCCGCTTTGTCCATTGTGCATTTTAATCGCCTTGTACAATACTGCGCCCGTAACTTTTGTATTTTTTTCCTGAACTTGAAGCATTGCTAATATAAAAAAAGTGAAATGTGCATCTTGCTTTAGATCATAATGTTCCATAACACCGATAAACTCTTTTACTTTGAGCACGCCTCTAGCCCGAGCTGGCCCCCTCTGGCCCAAGGTATTCGACGGGCCAGAAATCCTGGCTGTTGGCCCCGAGTAAGCCCTGATCAAGACCCGGAAGTGACAGTGGAAACGCGACTGGCTCTGGCACGCACTAGCACAGCTCGGCCCTGGCCCGGCAGTGGAAACGCGGCTAGTATGTTACTGTGTTAGTGTGGGGCTACTTTGAGCCTTGTTAGTGGTATAAACTAGCGATTTCTTTTTACTTAGTCAATACCCCCATTACTAGCGTTATACGCTAAACATTTTTTAGAAATAAAACTCTTTACATTCGATTAACATGAAAACAAATCTCAGAGAACGGTTCAATAGATACCGATGTTTTATTAGACCAAAGGTTCATTTTGCACCGGAGTTCTCCTCTAATACTGTAAGAGCATTTGATTCCCGAGATGCAGAAAACAGGATGGAATCACAGAATCCAGTCACTAATGGAACTTACTGTATAAAACGCAACCAGAATTGAATTGTGGGATGAATAAATCAAAAGAATCAGATATCGATACGGACTAGTGCCTGTGAATATTAAAGCTCATAAAGTGTAAGGCTGAAATAACCTCAGATACTTTGAACTTCTGAGATACATGAACATGAATGTTCTCCAGCATCATGAATGAATGAAGAATAAACACCAACCTCTTTGTTCTTCAGGATCTTCAGTGTGTTTCATTCTGCAGGGTTCTGGATCACTCATGTTCTCACTGTCCTCTTTAATAAACTGCAGATTTCAGCTCTTCCTGATGCTCTGATGATCGTCTTCACTTGCAGCTGATAGGAATTTACAGCATTTATAGGGGAATTACAGTAGGAGGAGCTTCACTGATGATGTAATTGCTGTGGGAGGAGCTGATGTGTCCAAATCAAAATTATATATCACTTACTGAGTTTGTTTTAATAGGGTCAAAGACCAGCAGTTTAATTTTAGAGTGATATTACATTTATTTATTTATATACATAGAAAATCCAGTAAATGTAAGTGTAATGTTTGAAACAACTTTTGTGAAAACAAATTGCCAGTAAAATAGGTGAAATAATGTTGGATTCATTCAGCATAACATATATATGTAAAAATGAAACAGCATAATTATTTTTAAGTATAATTACTTTTTTTTTTTTTAGAAACTTATAAAAGAATAGGAGATCATACTAATTATTTTTAAATTATAAAAAACTTCTTGCTGACAAAAAAGTGGTTTAAAGGATAGTGGCAAAAGTATTATACTGAAAAGTATGTTGGAGCTGCAGTATGATCCTAATATGCAGTTTTTGAATGTAATCAAATGATTATTGTTCTAAATATGCCTGGAAATAAAATAAAACTACTCTGCACATTTAAGAACACACACAGATAAATATAATAATGTTAGAATTAGAAATAAAACTCTCTTTAGAGATATATATATATATATATATATATATATATATATATATGCCTGTCAATCGTAAAACAATTTTTATTTCTAATTCTAACATTAAAGAACTGTAAGAAAAAACATTTAAAAGCATAAAAGACAAATAAGATGCTAAGCAACAAATCCCCTTAGCTGCTGACACCAATGAAATGAGATTTAAGTGACAATTTACAGGAGATGTGAAGACAGCATAATAAGTTTAACTGTAGTTTAACTGTGTGTTGTTAAAGAGGGCAAGCTTTATCATTTAATTGAGCTGTGAATGCGTTTTAGACACTTACATTGTTCTTGCTCCGTCAGTGCAACAACTCCGTCCATGTTATGAGCCGAGTTTTTTATTTACTTTAACTGCTCAGTGCTCTGGTATTATCAATGGGATTACAATATTTCAGGTGTTGCTATTCACATTTAAAATCAGAATATTAGCATAGCTCACTTACATTCACAGAAATATTGAAATGTTAGCGATACTGAGACAAAACACGAGCGCCATGATTGAATGTCAACAACGCGCGGTTTGAACGTCCCGCCCCCTAGCCGAACAAAAAGTTTTGATTGGTTTTGCACCCAAGTCAGACCTGTCTGTTATTGGCTGAAGTGCTTCAGATCTGTCTGTTATTGGCTGAAGTGCTTCAGACCTGTCTGTTATTGGCTGAAGTGCTTCAGCGCAGTGCCCCCCCCCCCTTTTTTTTTTTTTACTGTCTATGCTGCTTTTCCCTCATTGAATTTTAGCGTCGAGTATTATGAGGTGAAGAGAGCAGTTCACGGTATTTCTCAGCTTTACACACCCATCACACACACTTTATACAGTTAGATTAAGAGACAGACTCAGTTCTGTATTGTTTTCATCGATCACAGCGATACTTTTGCATCTTTTCTGGCGTCTTCCTCCTTAAATAAACTTAGTGCAGCAGAAGCGAGCCTGAGGAGAATATGTGGAGTTCATTCAGACCTGAGCGAGTGTGTGTTAGTTTGTCTGATTGTTACAAGTTAAAATTCAAAGTTTTATTATCTGGGAATCAGTTTCAATTTTTTAAACTGGAACAGATAGCCTACTACTAAATGCTTTATTGAGCTTATAAGTCATATGAGGTATTA